GGTCGACCACACGCTCACGCTCACGCCCACGCCCATCCCAGTCCCAGTCCGCGTCCCCACACATCGCCATCGCCCGCCAGCCCCGCCCGCCGTCCGCCACATCCTCCACATCTGCCCCTTCGTCTTCGGTGGCTCTCGCCTTCCTCACCGCTCCCATACCACACCCATCTCGTCTCACCCATCGCTCTTGCTGCTTTCAGGTCGATCTCCGGCTTCCTTTAAAGTGCTCGGACGCCTGCGCCTCCGATGCCTCGTCGCACCGCTACCCCCGCCACACCCGCGCCCCCCGCGCCCCTCCCGCCCCCGCCCCGCGACATCGCCGCTCTCGCACATTCTGACCCCCAATGGGCCGCCAACCTCACCACCCTCCGCCGTCACTGGAAGTGGGCCAACTTCTCCCAGTTCTTCTACACCTTCGCCCCTCTCCTCGCCATGCCCGACCTCTTCCTCGCCGTAAGCGTCCATCCCGTCGCGCTCCTCTCACCCCTCTCCCACGCGTGCCTTCCCCCACCTCACCATTCCCTCCCTTGTCTCACCCGCTGACACGCTCCTCGCCCCCTCCCAGGACATCGAAGACGACCTCGCCCGTGGCACCAACCTCTACCTTCCCCGCGTCATGCACAGACTTCTCTACACCCTCTCCCAAGACAGGAAGCTCACGTCAGTACCTCCCCTCCATCTCCCCAGCGCTTACTCATCCCCCACGTTCCAGCATCGACAACTGGCAGTCCGCCCTCCGCCGACAGTACCTCCGTCGCGCACCAGATCGCAACCCGATCGGCCCAGAACCCAAACTCCCCTCTCGAGACTCCTCCATCGCCCCATCAGAGGCCGCACACGAGGACGCGAACGCGATTCGCGCCTCCAGCTCCGCCACTGCGGGAGATGCCAAAGACCCCGCTGCTGAGCATGCCAATGAAGGCACAGCTGAGACCTCTCTGACGGAGCGCACAAGCAACCCTCCAGAGCCAAAGGCAGAGCCGCAGGAGGATGGCCACATTCCTCCCAAGGCAGCGAGCGAACAGCGGCTCCAGACGGAAGAACAAGAGGAGAGCAAGGATTGGCTAGATCTCCCCATGCTCGCAAAGCTCGACTCCCTCCATCTCCTCACCGAATGGCAATTCCACAATCCTTACAGAGTCCGGCAACTCATGAAGGACGATGACGAAGCTGCAAACTGGGTGAGTCTCCCACACTCTTGTTCCCGTTCGGCGCATGCCTCAATCGCGGTTTACAGCGCATAGAGCCTATTGGCTACGATGCCAAGACGAACGCCTACTGGCTCATTGGACGTGCGTGATCTGGCACGGTCTCAACTATCCCAACAGCTCACCCATAGCCCCTCGGTTCTCCAGCTGACAGGTTGTGGATCCAACGCGTTCCGCCCAAACCTCCCAAAACCCGCAATCTCAAGCGCAAACGGCCAGCCGCCGCCGCCACGAAGAAAGCGACTGCGATCGCCACTCCCAACAAGGCTCCAGAATCCTCTTCCGAAGACGAGGAAGATGAGCCCGTCTCCCGCTCCAAGCGTTCCCGCACACAAGCTCAAGCCCACACCAACGGCCGATCCACTCGCTCCTCGCGTCGTCAAACCCGAGCCTCCTCTCCTGCTCCCGAAACTAGCTCGCCCGGCAAGAGCGCTCGTGCCGCCAAGGTCCAAGCGAATAAGAAGCTCGACATACAGGCAAAGGAGCTCGCCGAGTACCAGCGGCAGCTCGCCCAGCTCGCCGCCAAGTCAAAGGCGGCTACGAGCCCACGCGCATCCCGCCGAGCCCCTCCAAGCCCAGCGAAAAGGCCCGTTGGAACGCGCGTTAGTGCACGGTTGCGGAGGTCGACCCGAGGGGTCATGGACGATGACGATGACGACGAGGAATGGCAGCAGGTGCCCGAGGAGTGGTTACAGGACAGCGCGTCTTCAACTCGTCGAACGAGTGCGCGTTCGCGTGCAAAGGGCAAGGCGAGGGCAGTGGACAATGTAGATGAGCCGTCAGACGAGGAGGTAGACGGCCAGCCGGAAGGGGAAGCAGACGCGGACGGCGAAGTAGAGGATGGCGACGGAACAGACGCTGATGCCGCTATTGGGACAGGTGCCCGCAGTGATGAGGTCGACGGTAATGCAGAGGTAGTCACCGAGGACCAAGGACTGCTGCAGAAAGCGGGTCTAGTGAGTGACGCAGTCAGCGAGTTGACGGACCTTTCCGAGGAGCAGGACGATGTTCCCATGACGGAGGACGACCCTGAGGAGCCCGCTGCGAAGAAACGACCATCCCGCTCACGCAAAGCCGCAGCCGATGGCGGCAGGAAGTCCGCAAAGCAACCCCGGAGAGCCAAGCCTTCTGCCAAGGAGAAACCTCCTCCCAAAGAGGACGTGAAACTTGACCCGCAGGAGGACGAGCAAGAGGACGAACTAATCCCGCCTCTTCCGGAGGATTTCATCGAATGGGAAGCGGTACGTGCCTGGCTTGCTGTGCAAAGCGGATGATCGACTTGATGCTTACCGGTTGTCTTGCGTCTATTTCTGTAGATCGCCGTGACGCTGCCCGAATGGGAGCGTGTTGCCGACAGATTTGCGAACGCGACCCATTACCTCGAGAAGGCGCTCTATAAGACGCTCACGCAGAATATTGTACCGTTTGTCACAGCAGAGTTGAGGGTGAGTCGCAAGTCTGGCTCCCTCAAGAGTAGCAGTCTGATTCTCGGAACACACAGGAACAAGAGAAGAGGCGGCGCCTGGAGGAGGCGATCGTCCATCGGAAGCGGTCTTCCCGGATCGCCATGAAAGAGGTCGAAAAGGAAGAGGCGCGGCTTGCCGCGAAGAAACGTGCCGAAGAAGAAGAAAAGATGGCTCGCGCCAAGCGGCAAGAGGCGCGACTCAAGAAGGAGGAGGCAGAGCGTGCCAAGCGGGAACGCGCACGCGAACAGCGGCGTAAGGAGCGCGAGGAGCGCGAGACGAGAGCTCGAGCCAAGGCTGAGCGTGCGGAAAGGTGGGTCCGACTCCAACTGGTCCGCTAGCGAAGCTCATGTATGAAACTCCGGCCTGCAGCAAGGACGCTGAAACCTCCGTCGCGAGATCCACCGCCACCCCGACAGTCAATGGCACTCAAGCGTCCTCGTCGGTACAGCCAAGTCGTGTAGTGACTCCCAATGGTGTTCGCTCGCCTGACTGGGTTCTGGACTGCGAGATCTGTCACAAGCAGGGCGTCAATGTGGTGAGTAGCCAACGTGTCATGGCTCCGACGCCCTCGCTAAAGTTTTGATTAGGACGACGGATTAGCAATGGTCTCATGCGGGTCGTGTAATAGGTGGCAACACATTCCCTGTCACGATCTCAACGACCAACGGTCCGGTCGCCCGCGGCGCAATTGGGAGGAGCAGCAATTCTACTGCTCTCGCTGTCGACAGCGTGCTACGAATGGCGGTGCGTATAGTGGCTACTCATCGCAAGGGTATCCAGCGGCCTCCCAATACAGTTGGTCACAAGCCACTCGCACGCACGCTGCTCACAAGCCTCCAGGCATGCCCCCATATTCTCAAGCCTCCGACATGCGCTATTACCAACATTCTCCGGTAGAGAACGGGACGGTTTACCCCCAGCAGCAGCAGTACAGCGCTAACCATGCGGGTGCTGCTCCCTACTCGCGTTCGTCTTATCCTACAGGCAGTCTATCCATTTCGCATTATCAGCCTGCGGTTTCTTCCCGTGGCGCAGGCGTCGCATCGCCACCCGGCTCTTCTACATGGAGCAGTAACAATGGGTACGCTTCTTCTGCTGAGCAGATGAGTGGCCGCATGCAGTCAGCACGCTTCGTCCCTCAATACGGCCACACCAGTAATGTATACTCCAGCAGTCGCATGCCTCCTGCTCACCTGGTGAGTGCCGACGGACCTGCTCTGGTGAGACTACCGCGACTGATAGGTGATCTAGAACGCGACCTCCCCCCTTTCACCGTATAATGCGCCGGGTACGATGTCCGCCGCGCGCTGGCCCAACACAGCAGCAACGAACGGGTACCACGCGTCTCCTTCCGGCAATGCTATCCATACTGCTGCCGAGTCTCTCACCTACATGCATGACGCCGGAAGCCGCTACGGTGGTGCATCCGGCTGGTCGCAACAGTCCTATGGCCAGCCACAGCAGCAGCCCGTCTCCCAGTTTCCTCAGTCCGATCACTCAAGCCAGCATGGCCGCACGTCTTTCCCGCCGGGCCAGCTGGGTGTTGATCCACTTGCTGGCCAAGTCTATCAAACGCCACGGACTGAGCAGCAGGTCGGATCGTCGCTACCCAGTGGGGGCTCACCCTTCAGCTTTCCGTCGTAGTGGGCATCGAGCATGTCGGACCTCTTTTGAAACGTAGGCAAAGTCGTCCTCATACTGAGAACTCGCGGTTCCCGCAAGGATCTTTTGAGATGGACACCGCTGGCTCATTTCTCGTACGTAGTCCATAATCTGATAATTGACTCTGGTGCGACGCTCTTGGGTAACGGATGGATCATCCTTCATGTCATATGTAGATGTAGTTAGTTCGAGTTTTTCCTAATAGTGGCCCGTGTGAACCTGCCCTTGTAGCCTCAAGCCTAGTTGCAGCCATGCTGTATGCGAGTATATGGGAAGCAAGCTGAGGTCTGCACACCTCGCCGATTACAGCGCTTCCGGCACACTTGAGATCTCGCATTTCTCGATATGTAGGTTTGTAGCTGCCTGAAGCTCAATGACTCGACCTCGGCCTGGCCATGATTGCCATCCGGGGGTGGTAAGGACAACCTGCTCAATATCAGAGCTGTATACCCGTTCACATCCAGCTTGGTGCTGTGCGCTCTAGGGTCGACGTCGAACCTGTACCGTTTATACGTAGATACCCAACGCGCCAGTCAGTCTCAGTCAGCACCATGTAATGTGTGGTCGAATTCTTCAGCACGAAGTTAAGCGGTCAGCGATAGTCTAAGGGACATGGCGGAGTGAGGACAAAAGCGGCCCTGCACTCGTCACCGAGTGTGCAAAATGCCAGGAGCGTGGATTGAACACGCGACCTCCAGAAGTTACAAGCCTCCGAGAAGCTCTTCAGTCTGTTGCTCTCCCAGCTGAGCTATCCCGGCGCAATACCAATGCGGCTACAAAAACACTATGACCATCAACGTCCTCACGAGGTTAGAAAGTGCGGGAGGATCCTCGAGATCTACATCGTAACATAGCTAGCAGAGCCCACAGTGCAGTACTCACTGAAGTACAGTAACTCCCGGTGCTCCAGCCACACTCTGCCAGTACAGTCCTTGTACACTCTTCAGATCGTTCTTGTTTGCTCCGCTGATCATGACAGATTCCACCAACGCAAACACTGATTCCACTACTGCGCCAGAGAAGCCATCCTTCCGCTACTTCCGTCCTCCCACCTCTGCACAGCAACCCCGTAGTATGTCTGTCCTCTTCATCTCAACTTCTCGTTCCCATCCCTGCTCACCGATGCCCTCTGGCTCTCCTCCCATCATGGTTCATACCTGTCGTCTTCCCACCGCTCGGTTACTGCGTGCATATCTACACGAATGAACGGATAGATGAGCTCCCAGACCACTACTTCGACGTCACTGCTGCCGATGTCCGAGCTCAGCAGGCCATGCTCACCGCCAGACGCGACGCGCTCCATAACGCTCCCCTCCGTACAGCCGCCATGCGCGAGGCGGAAGACAGGAAACGCAGAGCCCGCTGGCCGCAGGTTCGTACCCCTTCCTTGCCTTATAATGCAATATACTACTTCACACCGTCGCTGATGGCTACCGTAGACAACCATCAGGGTGAAGTTCGCGGACAGAAGTGCTCTCGAGAAGACCTTTCCTTCCACCGACAAGATAAAGTCCGTATACGCCTTCGTCCGCGGCTCACTCCGTGAAGACGTCAAGCCCATCAAGTTTGTCCTATGTATGTATCCTGATCCTCCCTCTTTCCTTCGTTCGGTGATAGCTCAAACCTCGCTCTGCGTGGCCCAGATCAGTCGCCGCCTAAACGCGAGTACAAGGTCTCTGACCCTAAAGTTCGCGACCTTTCCCTCGTCGAGCTCGATCTTGCGCCCTCGTCCGTGCTCATGATCAAATTTGAGGACGACCGTCTTAACCGTAAGTCTCCCCTTTGCAGTCACTTCATTTCCCCAATTCTCCCCTCCTGCTTCTGATGCATATGATATTCTACGTAGAATCCGATGTTCCCGCACCACTTGACGCCTCCGTCCTCGCCCTCGCAGAAGACTTCCCTACACCACCAGTCTTTGACACAGATCCCAAGGCAGACAAAGACGATGAGAAGGGTGCCTCCGGCTCCCGATCACGTGCCAATCTCGAGCTCGCCGGTAAGAAGGAAGACGGGGAGCGCAAGTATCCCAAGTGGCTCAAGCTTGGACCAAGCGCGAGTGAGCCCTTCCGCACTCCGTCCCTTCCTCACCGACACCTGGCTGACATGTACCTACAGAGTAGGTAATAACGTTAGGAGGTTAGAGATGTGTACCGATTCCAAGCGCATGTACATTAGGCAGCCTATCCATTCAGTTACCCCCTTTATATCTTCAGCCATATCAGTCTCTCATCCTTGCTTACCGCACCAACGCATGGTTCCATATGAAGTCCGCCGCACGCTTCACCATCGCGTCCGAGCATCGATGCCCCGTGCCCTCCTCCACGACCCACTCTTTCACACCACCCCCCTCCATTCCCTCGCCCACATCCAGCTCCTCGACAAACTTGCGCGAAGCGCTCCACGGCACGATCGTGTCCTCCTTCCCGCACAGCACCAGTATCTTCTTCCCCCAGAATGGATTTGCCTTCATCGGCGCATCTGACGTGTGTGGCGCCGCGGCCGGGTCGTGTGTACGAATGTACGCGAGCAGCGACTCAGGGAAATATGGCGGGCCAACCGTGAGCTTGCTCTGCGCTGCCCGCTCGGACATGAGCGTGAGGTAGTCAGGGCAGCCTGCCTCGCAGGCATCGAGGAGTGCGCTCAGTCAAAAGCATGTATTGTGAGCAGGATCTTCCGTATGCACCCACCTATGATCGGAATCCCAAGTGTCACCCTCGAGTCTGCGATGGGACGTTCATTATCAGCTTGCGCTCTAACTTGAGCACAAGGCTAGCCATTCCTTACCATTCTTGAGCGTGATCCAGGTAGAGTGCCCACCGAGGCTCACGCCTGAGACGAACCATTGCGAGATGCGCCGCTCGCCATACGGAAAAAGATATGCCGGTAGGAAGTCGATCAAGAACGACACATCGTTCGCCGTCCCGGCTGCGGGCTCACGGTTGATCAACAATCATCGGCGCAGAGGAGGCCAAGGAGACGTACTCTGAATCGCGTACATATCGATCCTACGAGCAGCCGACGCATCAGTCTGCCGAGAGAATCACCAAGCACTAGAGTGCCCTCACGCATGTCGGACATTGTTCTTGGTTTGGTCCTCCGGCTCCCAGTGCCAGTTCGCTAGCGGGTCCACGAGCCTCGTTCCATGGTTCCTGTGGTCCTATTCACGATCGCACCCAGGCAGTACCACAAACATGAATTAAATCCTTGAAATACTGTAACAGAGCCGCGCAGGACTTACGAACGTCACGACGAGGAGATCGTCCGCTTTCCCGCCGAGCCCGAGGTGGTTGGTCCGATGCTCGTGCACCTTGTCCAAGATCCCGCGTGCAGTGGGCTCGATATCTTGCGCGCTGCTCGTCCTCCCGTGCAGGAGGAAGAGAATCGCCACAGGATCAGTAGGAGTCGCAGCATCCGGCTGGGAGAAGACAGTGACGCTGAGCCCTGCGATGACTAAGGACTGCCGCGAGATAGCAGACTTTTGAAGACGACGTCTCGGATGAGTACACCATCCATCACAGCGAAAAGCAGCATATGCTCCTCACCGGCATGATGAGAAGAAGGGAGCACAGGAGCACTGCTCAAGACCATAACCGACACCACACTGCAATCGATGGCGACTTGGCTTCGCGAACACCGCTCTGGCTCGGAAATAGCACACAACACGGGGAATATCATGGACAGGAGCATGAATTATGCCATTACAGGCTGCAACTCTACGAATGCATGCGATAGACCACAAACTACTACTGACACCAACACAAAATATCAGGCTCTATAACGGAAGTCCAACATGCACACTGAACAAGTCATGAACGGCATAACAGCTGGGCGCAGCCGCAGGAGCGCCAGTCGGCGGGCAAAAAGCCAGCCAGGGGAGAGTAGGAGTGAAAAGGTCGTGACATCGACTATCTCTTACCAACGATCGTTGTTCCGTCCACCGTAGCCGTTATCACGCCCACCGTAGCCGCTGTCATGTCCGCCGCCGCCGCCGTAGCGGCCGCCGCCACCTCCGCCACCACCACGGCCACGGCCACCGCCGTAACGGCCTGATACGACAAGCGTCAGTCACCTAGAAAGAGCATGGAGAAAGATGTAAAACGCACTCCTTCCGCCACCGCCACCGCTGTACATCGCCATCTCCTCAAGCTGAGGAGGAACGTGTGCGTTCGCCTCCCTCAAGATGCCGATGAGCTCACGAGCCTGCTTGGCGTTATCCGTCGTGAAGTAGGTGTAGGACGTGCCCTTCATGCCAGCGCGCTACAAGCAAGCTGGTTAGCACTTTCATTATATATCGGACGAACGACATGGCTCACCCCTGTGCGGCCAATCCGGTGGATGTAGTCTTCGCAATTGTTCGGGAAATCATAGTTCTGGTACGGCAAGTCAGTCAAACACGAAGACATGGTGGAGGAACTGGGAAACTTACAATGACGTAACGGACATCCTTCACGTCTGCGTGCGTGAAGACGAGCAGCCGACAAGCGAGTACAAGATCGCAAGAGAGCACGCACGATCCGAGCGCAAGAGCAAAGCCAGTCGCACAGCAGTCGATCGCACATAGAAGGGAAAAGAACAACGGCACGGTCAATAAGTCAACTCACGGAAACGGAGATCACAAGCGCTCCGACACGACGACAGCACGGTCCTCCTTCTACGCAAGGAGTCGCGCGCTGAGCCGCACTGCTGTGTCCGTCTAAAGGTCACCTTGACCACCCGAAACATAGAAGCGGTGGCCAGGTTCAGGCTGTATGCGTCCGAGCTAAGAGACAGGCAAGTCTTGTGCGCGCAGAGTCCGATTGTCGACCGTTGAGCGAACGCTTGAGTCCCAGGATCCGTTGCTACTGAGTCCGTAACCGCTACCCTACCATACCAGGAACAATGTGACTGTTCATGCTATAGTTACCCGCGTAAGCCGCACCACACCCGTAAGGGTCGAGGACGGCCGGGTCTAGGTGAAGGGTCAGAGGGAACCGTGCATTGATCAAATGGGAGTCCGCAAAAGCTCTGTGCGCGCTCTTGATGTCTTGGCCTGTCTTGCCCTGGCGACGTACCCATGACCTAAACGAACATCTCGACCATAGTCGTCGCAGTCGACAACCGCGCGGCGAGCAAACTATCGCGAGCGCTCGTCGTGTCGCTGTAACATACGGCCGTAGCGCTTGTCAGAAGAGGAAACGTACCAAGTCCACGGGATGCTACATCAGTAGCGATCAGGATGGGCGAACGTCCAGCCTTGAACTCGCCCAAAACCCAATCTCGCTCACGTCTGTGAGGGGCAATCAGACTCAAGTCCCCATGACTAACGCAACATCACTCACTGTTCTTTATCACCATGAATGGCCAGTGCAGGCCATCCGTCTTGACGAAGGTACTTTGTGATGTCATCCGCTACACGCTTGGTGCCGACGAAGATGAGCACCTTCGCGTTCTCCTGGCTGATTTGGTCGAGGTGCTTGATCAGTTTCGCCCTCTTCTCGAAGTCACTAACGACCTCGATGATTTGCTGGATGTTGTGGTTGGCAGTAAGCTCCATGGAGCCGATGTTGACCTGGATGAAGTCTTTTAAGAAGTCCTACGTACAACGTCAATCATCGCACTGATTGAGAACAGATCAGAGAGACTCACATTCGCCAGCTTCTGAACGTCCTTAGGCCAGGTAGCACTGAACATGAGCGTCTGCCTGTCGGGACGGATCTGGCTGACGATCTTCCTGATCTGGGGCTCGAAACCCATGTCGAGCATGCGATCAGCTTCG